CCTTCCCACATCCTTCTTTCCTCTTCTTGCTCATCTCTCTTTTCCTCACAAACAGACCCTCAGATTTCTACCCTCCCTCCCTCCCCCCCGCATAACCCCCCCCCCAAATACCCTCATACTTCTACCCCCCCTCCTCCCCCCTCTTTCTCCTCCCCCCCCCTCACCCCCGCCCGTACACGTAAATAGCTTCAGATTTCACCCTCGGTTCCCCCTCCCCCCGCCCCCCCCCCCTCACGCATCCTCTCTTGTCCCTCGTTTACCTCACTTTTCCTATCTCCCCTTTTCCTTCCCTTCTAACTTCCTCTTCTTCTCTCTCTCATTTCCCCCCTTCTGTCCTCTTTCTCCCCCCCCCCCCGGCCTTTCAATTCCCATCCTTAACCTCACTTCCTTATTTCTTCCTTTCTCCTTTATCGACTTCTTCCTCTCCCTCCTCCTCCATCACCGTCTTCACTCCCTCCCCCCTTCCCCCTCCCTTCCCCCTACGCCTGCCCCTCCACCTCCCTCTCCCCTGCTCCTCCCCCCTCCCCTCATCCTACCTTCCCCCTCACCCTATACCCCTCCTCCCTTCCCCCCCATCACCATTCTGTCTTCCCTCTTCCCCTTTACCCCTCTCCCATTTCTCCCCCCTTCTCCCTCCCCCTTTCACCCTGCTTCCCCCATCTTCCTCCCTTCCCCCTCCCTCCCCATCCTCCTCCCCCCCCAATCCTCCTCCCTTCCCCCTCCCCCTCATCCTCCCCCAACACCCTCCTTCCCCATCCTACCCTCCCTTCCCCCCTCCCCCGCCCACCACTCCTTCATCCTCCCCCTACCCCATCACCTCCCCCCTCCCCCTCATCCACCCCCCATCACCCTCCCTTCCCCCTCCCCCCATCCCCCTCCCACCTCCCCCCCCTTGCCCCCCATCACCCAACCCCCCCCCCCCCCCCCCCAATCCTCCGCCCTTCTGTCCAGGTCGCGGCGTGGAGTGAGTTTCGAGCCCAAGGGAACAATTGCCTTAATATCATCGCATCCGATTATCTTCGCGGAGTTTTTCGACTCCCTTTTTCTTGCCCGGGTTGTTGGTGTCCTTTGGAGGGAGGATGGCGGTGGTTTGGTGGTGATTAGGTGGTGATCTGGTGTTTCTTTGGTGGTGATATGGTGGTGAGGGTGTGTCTGATGGTGTGTGAAGGTGTGTATGTGTGTCTGTTTTTGTTTGTTTGTGTGTGTGTGTGTGTGTGTGTGTGTGTGTGTGTGTGTATCTGTGTGTGTGTGTGTGTGTGTGTGTGTGTGTGTGTGCGTGTGTGTGTGTGTGTGTGTGTATCTATCGATATCTATCTAAATCTCTCTCTCGCTCTCTTTTTCCCTCCCCTCCTATCTCCCTCTCCCTCCCTCCCTCCCTCCCTTCCTCCCTCCTTCTCTCCTTCCCACATTTATTCCCACACTCCCTCCCCTCCTGCCATTTACTCCATAAGTAGTAGTGTCCTTCTCAGCGCCATGCACGTATATCTCCATTACAAACCCAGCGCATGACATAACTGGCTAGTTTTCTCGTAAGGACATTTTTCGAGGGTGATTCCAGAATTAATGCTTGGCTGAGTGTTATGCCATGCACGATGTTCTTTTTTTTCTTTTTTTAATAATGAGATGAGATATGAGAGGGAGAGAGAGAGGTAGAAAGAGAGAAAGACAGGTAGAGAGAGAGAGAGAGAGAGAGAGAGAGAGAGAGAGAGAGAGAGAGAGAGAGAGAGAGAGAGAGAAGGAGAGAGAGAGAGAGAGAGAGAGAGAGAGAGAGAGAGAGAGAGAGAGAGAGAGAGAGAGAGAGAGAGAGAGAGAGAGAGAGAGAGAGAGAGAGAGAAATAGAAAGAGCGAAAGAAAGAAAGAACAAAAGAGAAAGAGAAAGAGATACATAGATTGATAGATAGATAGACAGATTGATTGAAAGATAGATAGATAGATAGATAGATAGATAGAGAGAGAGAGAGAGAGAGAGAGAGAGAGAGAGAGAGAGAGAGAGAGAGAGAGAGAGAGCGGTGAGGAGATGAAAGAAGAAAAAGAACATAAAAAATGTAAAAAAAAAAAAAGACAGAAAGAAGGAAAGAAAAATAAAGCAAGAAAGAGGAGGCAGAGAAGGAGACAGCGCAAGAAACAGAGAAGGAGACAGAGGGCGCGATAGGGAGAGACCAGAGGTACTTTTGGGACGAAACGAAGACTCTCCTCGAAGATACAGAAAAGCATCAATTAACATACTTCTCTCCTTTCTGCCTCGGGGCACGGTGCGCGGAATGCCAGGTGAGACAAGAAAAGGAACCCTCAGCTATCTTTGTATTTCTAATAAACACGAATGAACAGGTTAATAGACAAGAAGATAAAAGCAAATACAAAGAAAGTGAAGGGAAGAAAATAGATTATTTCCTATATTAACTAAGGAAATCATATATGTATACGTCTTCGTGATATAGAGAACGACAGAGAGTATTATAACTTTATCAGTAGATACGATTAATATAAAACGCTGTAAATG